CTTTTCAGAGCTGCCACAGATAGTTTGGATGAATACACGGACACTGTGACGTCATACATTCACTTCTGCGAGGATAGCATCATTCCAACAAGGACCAGGGTCATCTATAACAACGACAAACCCTGGTTCACTGCTAAACTCCGGCAGCTCAGAAAAGAAAAGGAGTCTGCTTTCAGGGAGGGGGACCGCAGCGGCAACAAAGCAGCTAAATATCAGTTCAGGAAAGAACTGAAAGCAAGTTCAAGTCCCGGCACAGAGAACGACTACAGGAGCAGTTTGGAAACAACGATACTGCTTCTGTCTGGAGGGGCCTACGGGAGATCACCAATTACAAGCCCAAAGCCCCCCCCTGTGCTAACGACCACAAGCTAGCTGACGAACTGAACTTATTTTTCAGTCGCTTTGATGCTGCCCCTGACACCTCCCCCACCCCCCACTACTCTAACGACCCACCCATCAGCCCTGCGCCCCAGCCTGACAATAGCCTCTAAAGATATTCAACAACTCTTCTTGAGGCTGCACCCCCGCAAAGCTCCTGGCCCGGACCACGTGTCTCCGGCCACTCTGAGACACTGCGCCAGTGAGCTTACTACTGTGTTCACGGACATTTTCAACACCTCTCTGCAGTCCTGCCATGTCCCGGCCTGCTTCAAATCCTCCATCATTGTCCCCGTCCCGAAGAAGCCCAGGATCACAGGACTCAATGACTACAGACCTGTAGCACTTACGTCTGTCGTCATGAAGTCATTTGAACGCCTGGTTCTCTCCCATCTCAAGTCCCTCACCTCCCCCCTCCTGGACCCCCTGCAGTTCGCCTACAGAGCCAACAGATCTGTAGACGACGCCATTAACCTGGCCCTCCACCACATCCTACAGCACCTGGACTCCCCGGGGACCTACGCCAGGGTCCTGTTCGTGGACTTCAGCTCTGCCTTCAACACAATCCTGCCATCCCTGCTCCAGGACAAGCTCTCCCAGCTCAATATGCCTGATTCCACCTGCAGGTGGATCACTGACTTCCTGACAGACAGGAAGCAGCGATTGCGTCCGGGGAAGAATGTCTCGGACTCTCGGATTATAAATACAGGAGCGCCACAGGGCTGTGTTCTTTCTCCCCTGCTCTTCTCCCTGTACACCAACCACTGCACCTCCAGCCACGACTCCGTGAAGCTGATCAAGTTCGCGGACGACACCACCCTCATTGGACTCATCTCCAACAACGATGAGTCCGCCTACAGGAGGGAGGTGGACCGGCTGGTGTCCTGGTGCTGTGGTAACAACCTGGAGCTGAACGCCCAGAAGACAGTGGAGATAATTGTGGACTTCAGGAAGAGCACTGTCCCCCCGCCCCCACCCTCCGTGATGGACTCCCCCATCACCTCTGTGGAGTCCTTCCGTTTCCTGGGCACCACCATCACCCAGGACCTCAAGTGGGAGCCAACCATCAGCTCCCTCATCAAGAAGGCCCAGCAGAGGATGTACTTCCTGCGGCAGCTCAGGAAAGCCAAGCTGCCTGCACAGATGTTGGTGCAGTTCTACACGGCCATCATCGAGTCCATCCTCACCTCCTCCGTCACCGTGTGGTTCGCTGGAGCCACAGTCAGGGACAAGCAGAAACTACAGCGCATCGTGCGCTCTGCAGAGAAGGTGATTGGCCGCAGCCTCCCATCGCTGCAGGACCTGTACGTCGCCCGAGCTCGAGGCCGGGCTGGTCGTATCACAGCCGACCCCTCTCACCCTGCACATGGACTATTCCAACCACTCCCCTCAGGCAGGAGGCTGCGGTCCATCAGGACTAGAACCTCCCGCCACAAGAACAGTTTCTTCCCCTCTGCTGTTGGACTCTTGAACACTTCTTAACCTGTCCCCCCGCCCTTTATAAAGTCACTTTACTGCCCATCATACGTCACTTTACTTCACTGTACTGCTGTCACCTTACATTGTGTGCACCATGTGCACTTGTATATTGTAAATAGTAACTGTAACTCTATTTAAAATTTAAATTTAAGTGTTTTTTATTCTTTATTTTTATTCTCTCTTTCTGACTGTTGCACTGAGCCAAAGCAATTTCCAAGTCTGTGACTTCCTGTTACTTACGTGGCAATAAAAATGATTCTGATTCTGATCACTTTTTGCAGTATGGTCTGTGGACACGATCAGGAATGAAGTGCAGTGTTTCCTACTGATGCAGCTGCGTTAGCAAATGATGGTACTGTCCTTGCATCTGGAGGGTCTCATGCTGGAGCTTCCCTCGTTGTTGAAGAATAGTAAAAGCACAAAGCTGCCATCAAACCGGTCACTGGTCAGGAAGTTAGCTTTTACAAAAACCACTCTCCTTTGAAAAAAAACAAAAAAGGCTTCCAAAACTCCAAAACGCAGCAGGGTTGAACGCAGCTTTAAATTATCAAATTAAGTGTCACTGTAAAATATATTTATTCATACTGATATTTCTCTTGGTTTGTATAACACTTAGGCCTATGTATACATTTAACTTGCCTTGGCTAGAATCACACATTCAAAGTAAAACCCTTTGCAATTATGTCTTTTTCATATCAGGCAAAACTTCTGTTCCTGTTTGTTCCCACCCAGAAAAGAGCACTGACTGTAGGCAAATATTAGACATATTCTAAACTTTGCAAACTTTCTATTCAAGTTTCTGTCAAATCATAAGAATACATTATCATATCAAAGGGCATTTCACCAGCCATAAAAAGACCACTCTATGGGCTGATTCTGACCCGACTGTCAAAGGAGCAACACATCCCTGGGCACGAGATGGACCTGTCACTAAAATGTCACCACATATCCAAAAAACGTCCTCAAGAAATCTCCCAAACTTTGACAGCATTTCCACTGTCATCCAAGCAAAAACTTTTGATCTTGTATCGAGGCATTTGTGACCTTTGTGTCTGGAGGAAATTCTCCCTCGCAAACCTCTTGGCATCGACTGGTGACAATGTAGAAGTGCGTAGGAGTGGATTAACTGAGTCCCCAAGTCACCCATTTGAACATAAGCTAGCTGAAGCTGATTTCCTTTGATGGCCTCATGTTCCGACGGCGTTAGCTTCGCGCTGCAAAAAGTGGTAGAAGTGTTGCTAAGATGGTTGCTAAGGTAAGCTGGAGTTTCCCTATGAATGAAGGCCATGGTCAATCCTTGTATGGGTCATATCTGGATATACAAAGTCAATATCTAAATTAAAAACACCAAACAACCAATTTCAAGCCCAAAATGGTGAGTGTGACACAAACAGAGTTGAGTTTTCTGCGTAAGTCAAGTGTTGGAATGTAAATGTGTACTTTACATTACACTGTCCTCTGCATTTGACCCATCCTGATGCCACTAGGCTTACATCAGGAGCAGTGATACAGCACCCGGGAAAATCTCCAGATGTTGATACTCGGCTTGGTCAGGACTATGAGCGGTTTTCGATTACCTTTTTCTGTTCAAAAAAGAAAGGTAGCTTTGTATTTATCAACTCTTCTTTAAATGTTCTGTATTTTTTCCTATATAACCTATGAAAACTGATGAATAAAGAATAAAGATAGAAAAATAGAAAATGTACAAAATTTGTGATAAAAGATGACAATAATTTATCAACTGCCATATTTTCCAAAATTCCAATCCTGTTGGCGTGACATGCTGAATGAGAGCTTTGGCCAAATTTGTCTTGCCATCTTTTCATCCATATGCAAATGACGCCCCATTAAATTATCACAGCGATGAATTGATTCAATTCTATCTGACAATTATTTTCTGACAGTGCTTGTGTTCTGCCGTCGGGCTCCATTCAAGGCGCTAAATTAAAACATATACCGAAAGTCTTGCGGGTGGAACTATTTTATTCGAACGCCAACACTCATTTGGAGACTTCAAACAAACCTCAGGCCACTCCACAACTGTTGGGAAAATGGTGCAGATTTGAGGTCCGGTCTGAGCCTGGGGCCGGATCAGCGTCACCCGGTGTGACTCGAGTAAAGGCAAAATCATTTTCTTCCAGCCTTTAAAGCGGAGAGACCAGATTCTGCCTCGAGCAAAGTTTCCACAAAGGGATGAATACAATAATGTGTGAAGAAAGAAAGGAAACGGGATTTTGCTGTAGACACAAGTCGTCTGTTTATGTTATAAATATTTTGGATTATAAATGAACAAATGAATGAATGAATTACTGAAATGTCTCTGCAGTCTACACGTAATATTTTGCACTAAAATTCTTAATATACATGTCCATGTCTAAGATCTTTCTAAAGACATGACCGAAGATCTAATGCTCATAATGGCCGAAGAAATGAACCACTATACAACAGTAGGATCCAGAACACTTTCTATACAGTGACCTGGCTTCCCAAAAAAGTTTCTCCTCCTCTTATTGTCCTGTTCCCCTTTTACTTAGCTCCATCCTTATTTTTAATCCTCTTTCTTGTAAAAAGTTTCAGGGCTTTCCGTTTTGTCTGCTTCACATCAATCTTTAGAAAAAACATTGCAGCAAAACCTGAAATAAGTCAAAAAAGCTTGAATCTAGCAGTTTTTTTTATCTAGATTCAACTTTTTCTCATTCCATGTGAGATCATTGCTTGTCTCCATGGAAATCTTGTTTTTAATACCGACAAAGATATTTTTAAGCTAATTTAAGTATTGTTTGTACTTGTTTTGCTACAAATTGCAATGTGTAAAGTTGGCGCGTGTGTATATCTTAGAAAAGTGTGCTGATTTTTACTAAGCTTTACTATATTTTCTGCCTGTTTTCTTGTGACTGTTTGCACCAAAAGTGAAAGCAATTACCTCGTTACTTGCTGTTACTTACATTGCAACAAAATATTATTGTATTTCTGATAAAGGTTTAAAATATCATCAACACAACCAGTTCTTTAGTTGCTTTGTAACATATTCCCCGTGCTGTGATTCTTCACGGTACCACAAGTGTTTGGTATGTTTCACAAGTGTAAGTGATAGTGGGAGTGTGTGGAGCAGAGGTGTCCAGTGTGTGCGAGTGGACGGTCACCTTCAGGTTCTTGACGGCCACGGCTGGGTCAGTGAGGAAGCTTTGGCGGACACTGATCTCGATGCCCGCCTCCTTCACGCGCTCCTCCAGGTCGTCCAGCGTCTGGCCACAGGACACAACACAGTCTGAATGCACGTAATCTGGCTTCTAAACCCTTCCACAATCATAACTAAGACTGAATCACAAAATAAAAGGTAATAATTGCTTGAATTGAGTGCTCTTTATGCTAATTTGAGTACATTATTCTTCCAATTTGCCAATACATTGAGTCTTAAATTTAAAAAAACTGTTGCTTTATTTTGTCATTTTCTCAGGGAGGTTTTTCTTGTCCTGTTGGTAAATCTTTTTTGCAGCTTTAAATGTAGACAGTCCAGTTGAATAGCAATTTCATCTTTTATTACCCAACTTTTTTTTGACTGATTCTAACTCAGATGTACCACTGCTGGACTAAGTGGAGCTTGAGCAACACATAGTTTTCCACCTGCTCACCAGGGGGCGGAGCTGTCTCACTTCCAAAAAGTCAGTCTCCTTGGTTTCATCAAAACAGATTTTCTAGGCATCAATTTCAAGACAGTATCCCTATCAGCCTCCAATAATTATAAAACAAAACTTCATAAAATGAAAGATGAATATAGATAAAGTACATGCCAATTAGTAGATCAAATCTGCTCTGGGGTTTGCAACATCCCAGAATGCATTGCATGTCAACAGTGATGGGAATAACGGCATTGTTACTAACGACGTTACTTTTTTCAGTAACAAGTAATCTAACTAATTACTTTGACTGTAACTATAACGCCGTTATTATTGCTGACACCCGTTACTGCACGTTACTCAAGTCGCACAATGAACTTTTTTTTTACTTCATGATAGGACTTGTGCGCATGTAGACATAAGAGAAGGGAGGATGAGAGAACCTCTCAGCAATTAGAAGGTTAGGCAAAAAAGAATGTGGCAACTTGATTGGGCCCTTGGTGAGCCTGAGCCACAGCTGTTGAACTCACAGAGGTGAAGACTTCGGTGGTCTGCTGGATGGTGGCGATCTTGGTCCACTTCCACTTCTGGAAGAGCTGCACTCTGGTGGGGTTGTGTAGCGTGGCCGAGGGGTGCGTCCGGAAGAAAGTGGGAAAGCGCTGGCGATTGGAGAGCGCGGGGGAGCTGGAGCCGTACGACAGCTGCAACAAACACACACAAACACCATCCTTAGTTTTTACTGCAGTAAGGTGGTCAAACAGATAGGAAATTATATTAGGCCAAGATCTCAGGGACAATTTTGTCAAAATATTCCGTGACATTTTTTTGCAACATAAGTATGATTTGTTTCTAGACTTATAAGGCAAGGCAAGTTTATTTGTATTGCACAGTTCATACATAAGCTCAGAGTGCCTAACAAAACAAGATAGAAACAATCACACAAGGCATGTAAATCATAAATAATCACTGTTTGTTAAAAAAGAGTAAATGTAGAATCTCTCAAGTGTATAAATTTCCTCAGTTGTGATATAATGTAATATTAGGTACAACATTTAAAAAAAGGCCTCATTAAAACATGAATTTGATTATTTAACTTATATGTCAAAAAAACAATCACAAATCACATAATGCAACAAGTTTTTTTCTTCATTTTATTAATTTGCCTGTAATGTGTTTAACAGAGATTAATAAGGATTTGAATGATAGTACATAGTGATTGATGAAGACACTGAATATGAAGTTTTCTGAGAGTCTCAACACAAGCATAAACTCCTCACATTGTCCTCACTGTTGTCGCAATCAAGCGTTTTATTTGTTTAGCGCTCCTATTTGACCTTATTTTCCTCTCGGTGCGCAGAGAGTAACCTCCATGATGCCTCACAATACAAATAATACAATAAACAAAACATGACCTTCTTCGCTTCTGCAAAATCCCTATATCTTTGAGACATTTGAAAAGATAATATTTTTCTGGCTTGGAATGAGAAAAATGGTTTGTTAGAAAATGCTACTGAGCACTGAGAAGGTTACAGACAGTTATGGGCAAGCTACTCTACAATAAAATCAGCTTCACTACACAGAAGCTACCAAGCATAAAACAGAAAGCTAGCTAAGTTACTGTCAAATCCTGTCATAGCTTGATATATAGTTAATCGCTTCAATTCAATGTATTCTTGTATAGCCCTAAATCACAACAGCAGTCATCTCAGAGGACTTAGCAAAACTGTTGAACACATATTCTTTGCAAAGTAATTCAATAATTGCATTTAACGTGCCTTTGTTTCGTCACGCCTCGATTATGGCAATGCTTTTTTTGTGTGGCCTGAGTAGAGCACAAGTGGGACGCCTATTCAATTCAATTCAATTTATCTTCGTATAGCCCCAAATCACAAACAGCAGTCGTCTCAGAGCACATTGTCGATTCAGGACAATTCTGAAACCCCAGGTCCCATCATCACACCATGAAACAGACAATGGGAAGCGGGAGAAGCCAAAAGATTACACAGAATGCTGCAGATAGAATGCTTACACAATTATCCAAATACTGCCACATCTGCCCTGTCCTGCCTCCCCTCACTGGTTACCTGTGCAGTGCAGGATTTACTGTCAAATCTTGGTCCTGGTCAGGTCTGCCCATCAGCACCTGTTAACTGCCCCATCAACTAAATACAAATCACGGGGGGAAAACTTTAGAGTTTGTGGCACCAAAGCTATGTATGTATGTAAGTACGTAAGATCCAACCATTTCTCTCCCCTAATGATGGTTTATGATTTTATATTCTGTTATGTCTGTATCAATGACAGTCAGGGGAGGCAGAGCCTCTCCTGCCATCACTGGAAAAAATAATTATTTTAGTTGTAATATATAATTGTTTTACACTGTCCTTTGCTTTTTATGTATTTTTGTCGTGGTTCTGACCAGTTTTGATCATTTTAGGAGTCAAAATTGCTGAAATCCTATTTTTCCTACTCAAAGAGACGAGGTGAGGCAGAGCTCCGTGCCTCACACAGATCGCTCGCTCCCTCACAGTGGACTGAGTGCACTCAGCTCATGCTGTTAATGTATCAGTGTTTGTTTCTAATATCCTGCTTTGAAAACATTTGTTAAACTAAACATTGTGTTTAGTAATGTGTTGCACGTATGTGTGTACTATCTATATTTAATTTAAGTCTTTTGATCGAAAAAAAATACACAAGGAAAAAACTTGGCATGAGCCAAGCAGTATCTCTGCCTCACCAATAGGGGCGCTAGTGAGCATGAAGTTCATACCCGAGTTGCCAACAAACAACCAGTCCTACCGAATCAAATCAAAGCAATAAGTAATATAGACTGAGAGACAGCTGCTGGACTTACGAGGTTAGACCGGCCAGGGTGGAGGAATTTGTCAATCTCTGTGTATTATGTTGAAAATTGACCAGATAGCTGCATGAAAGTGCTTCCACGAAAGACTCCGAATCAAACACTGCTCAAGACTTCTGCAACTTGTTTAATTCTTGTTTATGTTCCTCTCTCTCTCCCCGCGTCTGTCTCTCTCTCTCTCTCACTCTCCTCGCGTCTCTCACACCTGTGCTTTGCAAAGACTTTGCATGGTACGGCGCGGAGAGTCAGCACCTCGATGTGTTGTGGGATTTTTAAAATATGCTGGTTCTCTTATCTGTTATGGAAGACTATTGGCACCTTAATTCAATTGTCTATTCATTTGTCAAATGGCTATGCATTATGTTATTTTAGTATTTATTTTGTATTTGTATTTGTCAAAGTGTAATGTTATATCCAATTTTGACATTTAATGTTCTATTCCAAAAGTTCTAATGGCAATTCAATATGTAAAGTGTTGAAACAATGTCTTTATATATCGCAAATTACAAGATTTTGAAATGAATAGCATATTGACATGGAATTTTGGCCTCTTTATTCATTGTTCTATTCATTCTTAACATGGCATTTAGTTTAAAGTTGTATTTGGCAAAATTGCATGTTATATCCTATTTTGACTTGTATTCAACATTTGAGTATGTTAAGTTTCATTTAATGTGTTGTGAAACAGCACCTCCCTCTAGATTGCATGGCATATTGCATATTGCATTGCCACATGGTTTGAGTGCAACTTAATTCAATATGCTATGCAGTTCTTGACCCCTGGGAAGGCGGGCCCTGGTCCGCTCTCGGCCAATCAGAGACGAGTCTATATCCTCCTAGCCTACTAGCTCTGGACGTTTAACTGGCTAGCCAGTAGTGTTTTCTGAAAAATAAAAAATAAAAACTACCGGTATTTTAACAAACACACTTCTATACTTACATAGAACCTCCTTTGAGTAACTTGGAATCTTCATGAAGGGTGATCTGTTACTTCCAATCCATCATAACAGCATTTACTTACAGCAAAAATCAACAACACAGGCATCTAGCTAGGAGGATATAGACTCGTCTCTGATTGGCCGAGAGCGGACCAGGGCCCGCCTTCCCAGGGGTCAAGAACTGCATAGCATATTGAATTAAGTTGCACTCAAAGCATGTGGCAATGCAATATGCAATATGCCATGCAATCCAGAGGGAGCTGCTGTTTCACAACACATTAACTGAAACTTAACATACTCAAATGTGGAATACAAGTCAAAATAGGATGTAACATGCAATTTTGCCAAATACAACTTTAAACTAAATGCCATGTTAAGAATGAATAGAACAATGAACAAAGAGGCCAAATTTCCATGTCAATATGCTTGGTGCATTTGCGATTTAATGCTATTTTATTAGAAAAATGATGGTCTGACTTTTAAAGACAGTGCCTCCCCAATCACTAACCTCACCGCACGTCACTACTTTTTGCACACTTTGTTGCGATGCAGTAGTGATGTTTTGACCTCCACGGTGCAAAGTTGAATGGACACTGCAAAAAGTAATGACAAATTGCTCATATTTGGCAAAATGTATCTTCACATTCTATCACATGTTGACTGCCTTAAAACAAGATTTGCCTCCGGGAAAAGCTAAATGATCTTTTTAATGACAAAAGAAATGTGGAAATGAGAAAATAAAGCCACACTTCTTGAAATAAGACTAAATGGCTTTGTCCCATTGGCCAATCGTGTTTTAATACAGTCAGAATGTACTCAAATAAGATAAAAACCACTTGATTCAAGCAATTATTACTTTATATTTGATCATCTTTTGCAGTGAAACGACTTGGGCTATTTATTTACTTCAGGAAATTACAACAAAGGCTTGATAGCTGTTAAAAATACACACATCATTTCCTATCCCAGTGCGTATGGATTATTTTTCTAATTGATTGAGCTTTCAATAATTATCTTTGATTAGTTGATTGCCCTGTAGATCATCCTTGAAAAATAGATGTTAAATTTTTTAGATCTGAATGAAGCTGAAGACAGACCACTTGAGGATGTCTAATTGAGCACACACAGTCAAGATAAGATAAGGAATAAAGCACAATAGCTCTCTACTAAAATAAAAAAAAACATCTCTCAAACTTAAGGGTAATAAAGAAGAAGGAATTAATATCTCTAACTTTAGCATACAAAAGAAGCAAGTATAAAATCTTGAACTATAGCAAAATAAAGAAATATGTACATTATATCTAGCTTAAGCATAATAATAACGCAAGACTAAAATATCCAACTTTAGCATGATGAAGAGCAAGAATGAGGAGTAAAATATCTGCCTTTAGCATAACAGAGAAGTGGAAAATCAATAAAAATAGACAAATTGTGAAAAATTCCAAAATGTTGTTATCTTTGCTCGGCCTGAAGCCTCACATCTTTTCCCAGCGCAGATGTGTTCTGGAGTCTATATATAGAACCAAATGATCAAACTACTAAATGAGTTGACAGTGATTTCAAACATCTGCGATTTAAGCTCTATACAGCTTTAAACAAATCCAAAGTTAATGTTTGGAAATGTGGACAACAATTATGAATGCACAGAATAAAACTCAGACAGAATGTTATGACACAATGACAATAAAACAGGCAGATCCCAGAAAGCTATTGATCAAGAGTTAAGCATGAGGCATGAGCTCCAACAGATAACCGCAGTCTTGTTCAACCGTCTATAGCAGAAGTTCCCAACCTTTTTGCACTGTGTACCCCATTATTAGCATTATAGTTTTTTAACGCTACCCTAGACAAACTTGTGTTGGTGTGTTTTTAGCTTTAACTGATGTCTCCATGATCATTATAA